GGTCTGAGTGTGGGTAAGTCTGGGTGTGAGTGGGTCTGCATGTGAGCCTAATCGGTACGAGTCTGAGTCCGAATGGGTCCGAATACGGATGCGCCTGACTAGGAGTGAGTGAATGGTAATGAGTGTGAGTGATTCCGAATGTATAAACCTGAATGTGAGTGAGTCTGAGTATGAGTATGATGAGTAACAGTCTGAATCTGAGTTGGTCTGGATACGAGTGCGCCTGGCTACGAGTGAGTCTGAGAGTGGGTGGGTCTAAGTGTGAATGAGTCTGAGTAAGCGTAAATCTAAGTATGAGTAGATCTAACTATGAGTATGGTGAGTATGAGCCGGAATATGAGCGAGTCTCTAAGCACGAGTGAGGTTGAGCATAAGGGAGTCTGGGACATCCTCACACCCTGGGCCCCCCTGGGGTTCGACAGCCAGCGCATCGCCCGAGCCATCATCAAACTCTGCTCCGAACGCAGAAGAGTCTGGCCAGCAAGACAAGCAAACCGTTCGAGAGATACTCGCGATCTGGGCCACCAAGGGTGCGAAAACCAGCGCCTCGTTCGAAACATCCTCCGATCTGCTTCGTCAGCGGAGGATGTTGGGAACCAAAGAAGCACCCCGCTCAAGACATCTCCGTGATTTGGGCGTGAACGGAAGATTGCAATACCTCCTGACGGCCCCCCCTGGGGGCGAAAGCCAGCGCCTTGCTCGAGACATACTCAAAATCTGCTCCGACAGCAGAGGATGCTGGGAACCAAACCAGGCACCCCACTCCAGACATCCCCGCCATTTGACGCGAACGGAGGAATGCAATACCCCCTGGCGGCTCCTCCTTGGGGCTGCTGAAACCCGCGCGTCGCTCGAGACATCCTCACAGTCTGCTCCGCCAGCAACAACAACATCAGCATCATCATCATCATCAGCATCATCATCATCAGCATCATCATCAGCAGCAGCCGCAGCAGCAGCAACATCATCATCATCAGCATCATCATCAGCAGCATCACCATCATCATCATCATGATCACCATCAGCATCATCATCAGCAGCCTCAGCATCATCATCATCATCATCATCGGCAGCATTACTAACAGCATCACCACCACCATCATCATCATCATCGGCAGCATGACCATCAGCATCATCAGCATCAGCATCAACATCATCATCATCATCATCATCAGCATCAGCATGATCACCATCATTATCAGCATCATCAACAGCATCATCATCAACGTCACCATCAGCATCATCATCAGCATCATCAGCATCATCAGCATCATCATCAGCATCGCCATCATCATCATCAATGTCATCATCAACATCATCATCATCAGCATCATCATCATCGTCATCCTAAGTATCACCATCATCAGTATCACCATCGTCGTCTTCTCCTTCTTCAGCACCACCATCAGACCATATCAATTCACAACATAACATACTCTAAACCACCATATACACCATACCATCACATGTCATAACACGGCACACCATAATTTAGCATGAGGAGGTGGAGGGAGGAGGGGGATGGTGCGAGTTTCGGCGCGGTCGGATTAATCATTCACTTCGTGGAGCTCCCCATCTGCTCGTGTGTTAGCATGGGCCTGTCCGCCGTGAGTGTCTAAGCGCATTCTCGAATATAAGCGGGTTCGAGTCTTGACGGTCTGGGAGTGGATCAAACTGTGAATGAGCTGGACCTTGAATGCGTCTCAGTAGTAGTAGTGCGTCTCTGCGCATGAACCTGGGGCCTCCTGGGGCCTCTTGAAACCTCCTGGGGCTTCCTGGGGCCTCCTGGAGCCTCTTGGGGCCTCATGTGGCCTCTTGGGGCTTCCTGTTTCCTCCAGAAGCTTCCTGGACCCTCGTGTGGTCTCTCGGGGCCTCCAGGAGCCTCCTGGGGAAGATACGCGCCGAAAGGGAGGCCCAAAACATAGGAGCAGACGTAAAACACTTCAGAGTGGAGTCACAGGAGAGGGGCAATGTATAGGAACAAGCGTAAAACACCGCGGAATCGTGCCCCAGAGGAAGCCCAAGCTAGAGGAACATACGTAAAACACTTAGGAGCGGATGCGCAGGAGAAGCACAATCTATAGAAACATACCTAAAAGCCAAGGAGTCGGACTCCAGGAGGGCCCAATCAATAGGAACAAACGTAAAACATCGGGGATAGGAAACATTGCTCCAAGTATCCCGCCGATGGCAAGGGTCCGACCATGTTCTTCTTGATAGGACCCTACGGATGGGGGAGGGAGGGGTGATGCCCTTTCGGCAATCCGACGGCCCCATGAAACTTCACATGGACTCTTGCACCGCCGCTGTAAAGATGGAGCTACCGCTCGTGACCTCCTCACACTTCACTCAAAGACGAGGCTCCCGTTCGAGACGTGCCCCAGGTTCATGTCTCAAGAACCCAAGAGTGACGAGAGATACACATTTGGATGGCCCGTTCTGGTTCATAATGTGGTCCGGCGGCCCAGTACGGAGGGAGCTCCCGCTCAAGACTTCCTCACGATTCACTCATAGACGAGGCTCCCAGTCGAGACGTCCTCCAGATGCATGTCTCAGGAGCCCGAAAACGACGATAGTGAAGGGGCCCTGGGACGCACAAATAAATACAGTAGACACTAAT